GAAAATATATCCTCATATTCTCCGAATCATCAATTCGAAAGAAAATGCAAAATCATAATTAAAATAATTGGACTTTACAGTTCCAAATGACACTAACTATTTTGGTGTTCCACACATACAAGCTCTACTGTAAATGTGGTGAATTAATCTGATTGGTTGATTGGATGATGAACGTGAATAACAAAGAAAATAGAAACTTAATTATTGTGGCGTAGACAGTGTAAAATAGATTGTAATCAGTACAGAATTCTTCTCCGAAGCAACCCGTCTTTGTGATGTAAGTATTTACTAAAATTCATAAACAGAGCTTAACGTATTTAAAATCTAAACTGCTATTTCAACTTAATAAATTCAATTTTGTTTTTACTGTAGTGATGCTTGATTTAACCCAATATTTACAGGAATTTGCTTGCTTTGACGTAGTCTTGTGAACATTCCATTTCCTGTACCATCTAGAGCTCTGAAGCAGAATCGTTTATCTAGTTCAGTCTCTTTCACATTGCCGTAAGTAAACAACTTTCCTTCCAAAACTAACCTCTCAACTCCATTTCAGGTTTAATCTGTCTCGGAGGAGGTCAACGACCGAGGAGCTGGAAGAGATGCTCGTAAGCGATGGAATCTGTGTTTGGAGACAACCTCTTCCGCTCTACTCTGGATACCAAACGTAAGTTTGTAATTTGGTGGACTAATTCCTTAGTTACTGTGCCTTAATGCAACAGACATAGCTTGAAAAACCAGGATGCGTTTTTTTTTTTTTTTTTTACTTTTTCTGTAAATCGCTCGCATGGAAGATACCTAACCTCTTTCCCTGCAAGTCTTCCAACTCATAACAGGAAGAACCTATAGTGCTAATAACTTTTGCAGGCGAAAAAGGATTAGCTAGTTTTGCTGAAAATTGTTTACTTTTGCTCGATTGGAAGAAGTTTCGTTTCATAACTGTTTCCCCTATTTCGTACGTCGGAGCATGTTTGTTTGACCTTAAATTGTACTGTTTGGAGTACCTATCATAGGCCTTTTTCAAGTTTTCTTTTACGGACTCGTAAATTTTTTTTAGATTTTCGTTTACTTCCGTAGGTTCATAACTTATGTCCTGATTAGTTTCTCGTAAATGTTTATATTCAATTCCTGAGCTAATGTAATTACGTGCATAGTTTATGAAATACGGAGTAAATGCTGTTGATTCGTGCACTGCCGTTCGGATGGCCATGGCTACCTTTTGGATATCCTTATCCCAATCTTTATGTTCATCTTGGAGGTACGTGCGAATCACTGCTGCAATTACCCGATTGACCCGCTCTGTCGGGTTGTTGGCAGGATGGTAACTGGCGTTTCGCCAATGAGTTACGTGATATCGATTTAATAGTTTCTCAAATTCTTTTGATTTGAATTGTGGCCCATTATCGGATATTAGTATTTCTGGTACACCGAATAATAAGAATACCATATCTTCCATGAACTTAGTTAGTGCTGTCGTTTTTGCATCCCGTAGCGGTTGAATTATTACGAACTTCGAAAAATGATCAGTAACTACTAGCAAGACCGAATTTCCTTTCCGTGACCGAGGAAATGGGCCAACAAAATCTACTGAGATAGTTTGCCAAGGTAGTGAAGCTAGTTTTTGCTTACCCATCAGTGGTTTATTATTCGTATTCGGGTACTTAGTCCGTTTACAAGTCTCACAGCCTTGACAATATTTACGGACGTCATTCTCCATCCCTGGCCAATAATATCGTTCTTGTAGTTTTTTATAAGTTTTATTGCGCCCAAAGTGGCAGTTATCGTGTGATTCTTGTAAAATTTTCAGCCTCTCCTGTTTTGGTGGAATATATTTCCACTGAAACCTAGTATCTGTCAGTCCCGAAGATACAAGCTTGTAAATTCGTTCTCTAGTTACTCGGAAGTCCTTGTACTTATTGCTGTTGTTTAAAATTTTTCTTTTTAGATCTTCGTAGTCCCCATCCTGGATTTGTATGGTGTTTACCGCCCTGGATAACGTGTCTGCAGTGATGTTCAGCGAGCCTTTTCGATATAGCAGTTCAAAATCGTACTGCTGCAACTTTAATGCCCAGCGAATTAATTTTGCCGATCCTCCTTCTGCGCTGATTTTCCGTAGCCAAATCAGGCTTTGCGCATCTGTGACTACGGTAAATTTAGACCCCTCGACATAGTGTCTAAATTTTTCGATGGCAAGGATTACCCCGAGGCACTCTTTTTCTGTTGGCGCGTATTTCCGCTGCGATGCTGAAAGCTTCTTGGAGAAAAAGGCTATTGGTCTCCGAACGTTGTCCTGAATCTGCACAAGCACTGCTCCAACTGCAACATCCGAAGCGTCCGATTCAATAATGAATGGATTAGAAAAATCCGGATTTGCTAAGACCTTTGGTGAGGTGAGTACAGATTTTAATTTCAAAAAGGATTCCTCTGCCTCCTTTGTCCAACTCATTTTCACTTTTCCCTTCTTTAACAAATCAGTGATTGGCGATGTCAAGTCACTGTAATGGTCAATGAATTGTTTATAAAAAACTAACCATGCCAATGAACCTCCTTATTTCTTTCTGTGTTCTTGGGGTTGGAAAATCTAAAATTGGCTGAATTTTTCCACTGTCAATCGCTAATCCGTGTTCTGATAGAGTATACCCAAGATAACATATCCTTTTTTGGCAGAACTTGGATTTGTCTATACTAATCGTTAAATTAGCCTTTTTAAGCCTTTCAGCTACAATTTTTAAGAGTCGAAAATGTTCTGATAGTGAATTTGAGATGATAATTATATCATCCAAATATACATACACATTTGGTTCTAGGTCAAATCCTAAAACTCTATTCATGAGTTTGGTCTGTGTGGTAGGGGCACCTTTCAAACCAAAAGGCATAACTTTAAATCTGAACAACTGTTTCCCTGCTCGAAAAGACGTATAATCTCTACTCGCTTCATCCAAAGGAATTTGCCAATACGCCTTAGATAGGTCTATTATAGAAAAATACTTTGACCTTTCTATTCGCCCAAGGATGCCTAACATATCGGGGAATGGGTACGCTTCGTTTTTTGTTATTTCGTTAATTTTACGGCAGTCCAAGCATATTCGCCATTCTCCTGAAGATTTTTTTACTGGAAGTAACGGATTACACCATTCCGAGCAAGACTCTTCAATTATGTCCAATTCCTGCATTCTCTTAACCTCCTTATCCACTTCCTTTTGAATATGCGGCGAACATCTGTATTGAGGTGGTTTCTTCGGTTTTGCTCCTTCCACGAGGTCTATCTTATGTGAGATAACGTTTGTTCGACCTAGTTTTCCTTCGTTTATGGTTTTGAACATCTCGACTATCTCTTTAAGATTTTTATTTTCTTCTGCTGACAACTCGTGTTCTGTATTAATGTTATCTATGTTCTCATTTTCAGGATCTTCTGCATAGGGTAATTCCAGGCTGCTATCTTCTGTGTCATCTTCACGCTCGTCAACTTCTGGTCCCCTAGGTTCAATGAACAGAACGACCGTTTCCTGTTCCGTGAAATAATCCTCTACCAGATGGATGTTTTCTTCAGTTTCGTCCTGGACAAGTTGACGCACGTTTCCATTCTCAGCGATTGCAGGAACTATTTGAAAAGTGTTCCAAAAGTCGACTCCAAGGATCAGTTCTTTAGATACTTGTGGTACTAACAACGTCGGAACAACGTTTGTTTGACCATTGTAAGTATACGGAATTTGTACTAATCCTTCGCAACCGTATGCCGTTCCGTCTGCTGTCTTTATTTGAAGATTAATTGGGTGTACTCGGAATCGATGCTTCTCAATCAACTTTCGGGAGTTTATTATACTTGCACTTGCACCTGAGTCTAATAGGGCGTGAACTGTTGTTCCCAATATATTTACTAAAATATGAGGACATTTTTGGGGTCTCATATTAATATGGAAGGATTGTGCAAACTTGGAATAAGTTTTGGGAGAATCATCAGCAAGAACAGAAAGATCTCTCCCTACGATCTTTCCGTGTGACCGTTTTCCAGTTGAGTTTGGGGAAAACGGTGATCATTAGGACAGTTGGATGTAATATAATTCATCTGGCCACAAAAATGACAGAATATCTTTTTTGGTCGATTACAGTCACGCCAAAAATGACCAAACTGGCGACAGTTCCAACACAAAATATTATTTTGATTATTTACTTCAGTCTTTGGAATAGCTCCTGTTGATTGAGAAGTTGATTCTTTTGATTTTTCAAAATTTTTCTTTCGATTGATTACCTGGGTTATAGCGTTAATCTCTTCCTCACTTTCCTCATCTTGAATATCTAACTGTTCTGTGTCCTCCAAGTTGTTCACTTGAAGAGGTCTATTTCTAGGGAATGTAGCATAACTGCGATACATTGCCTTATCTAACCCGTGGCAGATTGTTAACAGCTCTTCAATTCTGTCGACTCTGTAGATTGTCAGGAATGGCTTATAATTGTCTCTCATGTTTTCCAAAAGAATATCTAATTTTCTAGATTCGGACATAGGCTTTGTTAGCTGTTGAGCTAACTTTTCCACTGCTCCAACAAAAGCATTAAAGGTCTCTTGTGGTAGCTGTCTTCTGTCCAAGATTTGACGCTCTATAACTTTGTCTTTATTGGGAAGTTCAAAACGAAGGCGAAGCTGGTGTTTAAAGCATGTCCAGTTCGTAAATTTATGGCAGAAGGTATAATACCACTCCTCTGCATCTGAACCCTCTTTGAAAAAGAAGTTGGCTTGACTTAACAATTCTTGCTCTGATATTTTATTATTTTTAGCCAATATTTCAACCCTATTAAGGAACTGTGTTACCGTTGGCCCTCTGGAGTCTCCACTAAAATGAATCCTCCATTTACTAATCGGCACTTGCCATTTGTTCCGCCCATCTATCGGTTGACGATTCCATGGTGTCGGAGGGAGCATACCACCAACAGACGAAACATGCGATGCTACTGAGTTTGGATACACATTGTTACGATTCGCGTGATCGGGCCTTCCTCTTGGATACTCAGGTTCGGCTAGTGGCGGTGGTGGCCGTGGGTATGGTGGCTGTGGAAATGGTGGCTGTGGGTGTGGTGGTTGTGGGTATGGTGGTTGTGGAAATGGTGGTTGTGGAAATGGTGGCTGTGGGTATGGTGGCTGTGGAAATGGTGGCTGTGGGTGTGGTGGTTGTGGGTATGGTGGCTGTGGCAATGGTGGCTGTGGAAATGGTAGCTGCGGAGATGGTAGCCGCGGAAATGGTCCAGGTGTCGGTGGGCTTAGAGGGGGTGGTGGTGGTGTTTGAATTGGCGATGGTGGTGTCGGAATTGGTGGCGGTGGAGTTAAAGGTGGTGGCACTGGAAGTGAATCTTGCAAATCCGATATTGTGGGAGTCGATGTTCTTTGGTGGCCCATTCCTGTGTTTAGTTGTGACATCATTGTTCTTAGCTGAGTTGACAACGTTTCTTGGATAAACTTGCTAATTTCATCTTTCCATAGTTCCACTGGTGTTGTTCCTAGAAACGGATGTGGTTGGTTGACGTGCTCCTTTCTCCTTGGTAGCAATGGTTCTTGATTATACTGATTCCGAGGGCTTGGGTGGCCTCCGGCAGCTTCATCTAATAGGTCCTGTTGTTCTGGATCCTGTGAGTAATGGAGACGCAAATTTGGAGGGGGCACACTTTTCCTTCGATCTTCGGGATTTCCGTACCTATCTAACAGATTTTCTATATCTGCTGCTAATTCATTTCGAATTCGTTCTTGTTCTCTTGTAATCGTCTTAGCTCTCAAAATTCTCAATCTGCAGTGCCTCAGACGTGAGATGTGCTTGGGTTCTGGAAATAGTTCCAGGAGATACCTTATGTCCTGTACTTTACGCTTAATAACTCCATACTCCTCCACAATAGATTTTTTTCCCCGTAAAACCCTTGGTTTTCTTACTTCTTCCAATTGAGCGTTCCTCAAAGTATGCCTCTTGTTCTGGATGGGCTCATCCACCGGCAAGCAACGAATTTTCAATTCAAAATCGACTTCGTCAGCAAGCAAATCATTGGGATTTATATATGATTCAAATTGTTCCCAACTTAGTGTATCCATTTTTAATTCTAATTTTGTTTTCTTCTTTGTTTTAGGTTCCTCAAACAACCCCGCAAAGTAATGGATTCCAGCAAATTAAGAAAATTAATGCAAATAAAATATTGTGAATTTATATTACTAACGCAATAATTCAAATTACAATTTCCCCAAATTTAACCCATCCACAATTTCTATGTACTAATAATTCAAGAGAAAATATACTAAACTTATCCAACAAATGCAATAAAAATATATACAAACAAAATTAACAACTATTTACAAATCCGATTGTTGGGCGCCAAATGTAACGGGATATAGGAGGGTGGCAAAAGGAAGGAACAAAACAGCCTCCGCTTAAGCGCCAGACAAGTCGAAACCTGCCGCGAAGGAGCGTGCTAAATCTCAAAATCCCGTACCCGGCTGAGACCTCAGGGCGAGTCCTTGTCTTTGACCTCCAACCCAAAACCGAACTTCTGAACACCGCGGTGCTAAGCAACAACTTATAGAACAAAAACGGAACAACTTCAGGGTAGATTGGTGTCCTTTGTAGGTTTGCCAATCCAGAGCCTATACTACTGCGACCCGAACCGAATGTACCCTGTAAAACTACCTCTTTGAAGACCACGCTTTCAGCTTTCTAGAAAAGAATCTACAATCTTGTCATGCTACTTCCATTTTATTCTGTCGAGACATTAACGAAACCCAACTTCCTTTCCTAGCTCTTCTATCTATTCATTGCTATAGCTTAACGACTAGGGTTAGTAAGTTTTAACAATTTTCATTTGCTCAGAATTACTTGCCAATTCTCTTCGCGCGCGCGCATTCCTACGTGGTCACACGACGCAGGACAAGTGCACTTGCTGGGTAGTTCATCTACTCGCCACTCACTCGCTCTCCGGCGGTAGCGTACATACGTGACGGTTCGTGTCCTCGACGACCGTGCGACGTAACGGTAAGGATGGTGGTGAGCTTGTGGCCGAGAACACCGGGGACGATGGTGGTGAGCTTACGATGTCAGTGGAAAAAGCTTCCAAACGTTTGCTGTCACGTCAGCTAATACCGTTCCACGTGTCAGTCACGAATTTCACCACGCCGTGTGCCTTATCGGCCCAAAACAACTGACATACAGTGAAGGTTTCCACGGGGTGTCACTGTGCACGGTTCCGCTAGACTGGTCCTGGGGGGGTACACCTTCGTTTGAAGGGAAATCTTCAAACGGTTTTACAAAAAGCATTAAAACCTAACCTCGAATCATATCTATTATCTTTACCTGTCACTACAGAACCGTAGGTTTAACGTGCTGGTGGTCCCGTGCGTTTAGGATTTCGTGCAAGTGGTTCCACCTAGCAAGAGCTGATTTATAACCCTATTTATTTTTTTTTTTATAATTTATACGGTTTTACACTTCACTTACGTTCATTCGGGCAGCAACGCTGCGTCCTATGGGACACTCAGTCTCCTTGTCAGCGGCTTCTATGACCACTTTTTTTTCCGTAAATATCTTCTCTAGCTTTCACTAATATTCGTTAACAACTTTTTCACGACTTAACTTTTACTTTTACTTAAGTTTTACTCGAGTTATAATTCTCGCACAATGTACGTTTTCGTCTACTTTCCGATGAGCACTATCGAACTTGTCTCTATCGTGGTCAAACTTTAAGAGGCAGCCTTACAAAAGATTGGGATCTATTATCCCCCTTATGTGCGAACGTTTCCCGAAGTCGTTGTGTTAGTGAACGTGGCCTACATCCGTTCTGTCATAGTTCGAAAACCGCCAACTTAGACCCATCTGGTGTTTCATTGCGAATAGGGATCAGAGATAGAGAACGTTTTTTTGATAATAGCGAAGGCTAGTTTTGATAACTGTTCAAATTTAAAAAAGAAATAATTTTTAATTAATTATTTTTTTTTTTCTTTTTGAATAGGATTGGAAGGGTGTCAACAAATTAAGGGATCTTTATATTTTATTAGATTGAAGTCTGTAACCTCGTTACAAACGGTGAGCTGTTTGCAGAATTTTGTGGCAATAACGACATGGTGATCGGGGGCTCGCTCTTCCCCCATTGGCCAGTGCACAAAGTTACGTGGGTTTCCTGTGATGGACATACCGAAAATCAGATCGACCACATCTGCATCAGCCGAAAATGGAGACGGAGCCTTCTTGATGTCCGGAATAAACGCAGTGCCGACATCGCGTCTGACCATCACCTTCTAATCGGCGAAATCCGCCTACGCATGGCGCGGATCCAGCGACGGGAGGAGAGACTCGGGCGGCGGTTCAACACACGCTGACTTGAAGATCCAGCAGTAAAAAGGTCTTTTGTTGAAGAACTTGAGACTTGAGCTGTGAACGTTCCAGAAGGTGGCAGCGTAGAAGAACAATGGACGGCCATCAAGAATGCCGTTATAGAAACAAGCGAGAACAACTTGGGTGAGCTGCGCACCCAGAGGAAAGAGTGGATCCCAGATGAAACCTGGTGGAAGATTGAGGAGCGTAGAGAAGCAAAAGCCGCGATAGAGCGGGGGAGAACCAGAGGAGCCAAGAACGAAGCCCGTCAACGGTACTCGGCTCTAGAGAAGAAAGTCAAGCGCTCTTGCAGACGGGACAAGCGAGCGTGGGTGAACTCCCTGGCCGACGAAGGGGAGAAAGCCGCAAACACTGGCGATATACGCCTCCTCACGATATCTTACGACGCCTGAGTGGAGCAAGGATGAACCCGAGGATGCCAGTGAAGGACACGACTGGACAATTGCTTACCGACCCCACTGACCAGCTGAAACGCTGGTTTGAGAACTTCGAACAACTTCTTCAAGTTTCGACGGCCAACCAGTCATCAACATCTCGGCATGATCCGCCTAGGGCGGCGCATCACTCGCGTCAATTCCGAGGCCCCATCACTGCAGGAGATTGAAGCAGCTATCCGAAGCATAAAATCTAACAAGGCTCCAGGGGTCGATCGCATATCAGCAGAGATGCTCAAAGCTGACCCCATGCTATCCGCACAAATGTTGCATCAACTATTCTGTAATATCTGGGACCCCACGACTTTTCCGGCCGATTGGATGCAGGGCATCTTAGTGAAGGTCCCAAAGAAGGGGGATCTGACTGTGTGCGACAATTGTCGAGGCATCATGTTACTGTGTATTGTTCTCAAAGTTCTGTGCAAAGTTATCCTGAATCGGATACAGGAGAAGATCGACGCGACTCTCCGACGGCAGCAGGCAGGATTCCGTGCCGGAAGATCTTGTGTGGACCATATTGTCACGCTCTGCATCATCCTGGAGCAGGTCAATGAAGTCCAAGAGTCCCTTTATTTGGTATTCATTGACAACGAAAAAGCTTTCGACCGTCTCAATCACGAGAATCTGTGGGGCGCCCTGAGACGCAAGGGAGTCCCGGATAAAATCGTCAACCTCATCGAAGCGCAGTATGAGCCTTTCACGTGCAGAGTTCTGCATAACGGAGCCTTGTCCGACCCTATCCGGGTAGTCGCTGGTGTGAGACAAGGATGTATACTATCACCGCTACTGTTTCTGATCGTAATCGACGAGATCATGGTAGGTGCAATTGACCGTGTACCGAACCATGGGCTGCTTTGGCAGCCTATCACGATGGAGCATCTCAACGACTTCGATTTGGCTGATGATGTTGCTCTACTAGCACAACGGCGCTCTGATATGCAGAGTAAGCTAAATGACCTAGCCGAACGCTCCTCTGCGGCGGTTCTCACCATCAATGTCAACAAGACCAAATCGTTGGATATCAACACGGGCAACCCTTCCAACTTTACGGTAGCGGGGCAAGCAGTGGAGAAGGTCGAAAGTTTCCACTATCTTGGCAGCCAAATAGCGTCGGACGGCGGGACCAAGAGCGACATAGGTGCACGAATCAAGAAGGCTAGGGCTGCCTTTGCGAGTTTAAGAAACGTATGGAGATCCAACCAGACAAGTCAACGCACCAAAATTCGAATTTTCAGCTCGAACGTGAAATCTGTTGTTATACGCCAGTGAGACGTGGTGTGTATCAGCGGAGAACACTCAAAAACTGCAGGTCTTCATCAACCGATGCCTGCGGTATATAATTCGTGCCTGGTGGTCTCACAACTGGATCTCGAATGTTACAATGGATTTACCCTTGCTTGTATAGAGGTTGTGTTAAAAGTGGCCACATATCTTATAGTGTTTCAATACGGCTTTAGGCTGTAAAAACGAAATTGATTACATAGGGAATATGTTTGTAATGTCCGCCTAAGTGTCCCTAATTTGGGCCTATACATAAATTCAGCAATCGACTAAATTTTCAATAGCAACCAAAAATATCCATTAGTACCGTCCCAATGACGCGTTCATCTAGATACAATTGATAAATAGCA